TCTGTTGGTTCCTTTTGTTCTGCTAGATGGCTTGGAAAGATCACATTGGAAACCTATATCTCCCAGATCCATATCTGGTTAAGGTATACCTTTGTGCTCATGTATTGTGTCCCACATGGTCTTGTTGTTGGTATTACAAAAGGTGACACGAAATCTGTAAATGCCTCATATAATTACCGGAAGTTGCAGATGCAATTTAGTTGAAATTTACCCTTTTCAGGAATCATGTGAATGAGTTCACCAGAAAAGAAAGAAAAGAAATGATGTGAATGAGTTTTTAAGCTTTGGGATGATTTCCGTGTATGGAAGGGATTTTAGAATGCTTCTCAGTTTTTTCAGTTTTAGACGATTATTGTATGTATACCTAAAAAAATTTGGTTATAATTACTTCTTAGTCATGATGCAAAGGGAGGAAACACCTTTCACATTCAGTACACGTATGTTAGTGGGTGATGAGGTGTTGATGCTTGGACGCATAAGTGTGCATGTTTTGTTTGATTTTTTTAGGAAGTGCACGCGCGAGTGTTGCTTTTATTTTACATTGTTCATCAAATAAATTCTCTTATACCATGTCTGTGATTGATTTCAGGTCTGGTGTTCCAGATGGTCAACCCAAATTATTGCTTTCTTTAATCCCAGACTACCCAATGTTGAATTTTATGCTCGTTTCTGCTATATATATCGCAGTAAGTACATGATAATGAGAATGATATATTGGAATTTTGTAAACTGTGTTTCACTCTGAATATTCTGTTTCCCCGCAGATTTCTTATAGGCTCTTTGAACTGACAAATACACTGAAAATGGCGTTTGTGCCTAGCAAAGACGATAAACGTCTTGTACACAACATAGTTACGGCTACAACAATCTCAGTTGTTTTATATTCCTTGTCCTTTGTCTTCCTTAGGTTACCTCTAATGTGGGTAAGTGTTAATGTGTAATTCCTCTGGACATTTTTGGGCTGTGTCAGCTTTTAATCCTTATGCGTAACTCATAGCTATCCGTTAGTCGATATTACGTTCATATATGCATCCGCACATAACTGAGTACGTGCAGATAAACACAACTGCATGCAGTATCCATTTTTGTCAAAACACATTTGTCCTGCGCAGGAGTAGTGATGCTGATGCTAAGAAAACTGGTTTCATTCACTGAGTGTAAATTTATGTAATGTTTTTGTTGTCTGGAAAATCTTCAGCACTCGTGAATTATATTTGTATGTCTGAAAAAGTCTTCTAGGGAATTGTTGGTATGGTTGGGACTTGTTTTGTGCCCCTGAGAATGGAAATTTGTGCGGCGTCAGTTTGAACGTTAACCAACACTAGAATAGTTTTATCTTAACTGCATATTGCTGATAATAAAAAATTCACAGGTTTGAGAGTTGAGACATGTATATTACGGATTGCTGCAAGCTTACATGCCAGATTCCTATGGACTCGGAAGAATTCTGCGCAACTTCTACAGTTTGCTTGTCAAACCAAATTTTCAATGAAGGATGCCTTTGTGTTCATCCCGTTATTGAGACTACCTACACGTGAATCATTATAATAGGATTCTAGCTGGTTTCAGAAAGTTGTATAGTTGGGGGCGGCTAGTGGATGGCGTCTGTTTTTTTTTTCCACATTTGGTTGTAAGCTAGGTCGGTTTATTTCAGATGAGTAAACGACATGTAAATACCCATACGTTTGATTTATAATAGATTGGATATGGTCATCTTTGATGAAGAGGCTACCATCTCCCGGCGACAGATGGTATTAACCCTGATGCGTTTAAGACAGCCCTGTTACGAACCAGGTTTTGTTTTGTTTTGTTTTTTTTTTTTTTTGGGACTTGGAGTAAACTAGTTTATTCTTGAGACACTAAGCAATATGCAAGCAGGTTGGAGGGGATTGTTTTGGCTGAAATCTAAGTTCAGAACTAAATCGAACGACATAAGTGAAGAAACATCTCCAATATAGGAAATTCAAACATAATAAAGACAATGAATTGACAAAAAGAATTGTTAATGACTTGCTCTTAAATCTTGATCTTTGTGCTAATATCTGCTAATTACAACCCATTAGTTCTGCAAAATGCATAGACAATGGATAGGGGGGCCAGCTGGGGGCTGGTGGATGAAAACCCATTGTCCAAATACATTAGCAAAACAGTCGACTTTCTCAAGATGCAAAGTCGAGTGCTGGGTATCATTAAATCAAAAGCAGTACTTATCAACCGGTTTATCCCTTGGACAAAACCACAAAAAAACGGTTGATTTAACATTGATCACAGTCAATCAATCCCGACCCAGTTCATCTATTTGCGCTTTTGTGGATACACTGATTGAATAATTCACCTTCCCTGTCAGCTAGCTCATCCTGAAGGGAGTCTGCTCCATGTTGACGACTCAGGTTTTGCATTAAGCTGCGAGCAATTATTATCAGGTTGTACATGTCAACCGCTTTATAAAATGGTGGGTTCCTAAGAATTGCCCACCTCAGCTTCAACACACCAAAGCATCTTTTTACTGCATTCCCAGGGAAGAAGACTTCATGCTTCGTACCACATCTAGCGGTAACCATTAGCCCCGGGAACTCGGTGAGACGCAGGTTCAGACTTCAGGGTGAGCAATTTGGCGGGAAAATGTCGTAGATGTGAAAATAAAAAGAATAGGAATATTATTATTGTCTAATTTGTCTTTTTATGAAAATATTCCCTTATATTAATGTAAAAATATTCTCCAGTGTAATACTCCTACTATCCTAAGTATATGAACCAGGATAAGGATAAAGAGTTGGTTTTGGTCTTAGAATATAAAATCTTGATTTGTTTTACTTTTCACATATATATATATTATTTTTTACAAGTTAATTGACCAAATTTATGAGTTAATATATAATCTAATGTTATATAAGCGTATTATAAAAAGATTATGTCATATTATTAAAATTGAATAATTTATTTAGCTTTTTAAATTTTAAATTAGTTAAGTAGCTTATACGGCAAGGAGCTAGGGAGTATTATACCAAAAAGTCTGTATTATTGAACATGATATCCAAGATGTAATAAGTTTCAACAGTTCAGAACGAAGGATACGTGCGTATATAAAATTATTCATATGTACAATCAATAAACCCAACCCATTAAAAGTTATAACAAGTGCTAGATATTATAAAAATTACAGTATAAATAATAAATCAAATTTATGCATATATAAATAAAACGTCTATAATTAACAATTCACTAATCAAATTTTTTATTATTTTTTCTTAATTAATCCCGCAAATAACAGAGCAACAAAAGCATTATACACAAAAACATTCTGGGAGAGATGTTCCATGTCGCCTGGAAAAACCCAAAATGCTCATGCTTCATTATCACAATTTAAAGAGATATGGATGGGAAAGGGGTTCCAAAATAGTACGCACATGAGTACTTATTTACAATAATAGAATGCAAATAAAAATTAATACAAACATATTTAGTGATAAATGTCCCTTTTCCGGGTCAACAGTGAATATCAATTAAAATAAATTCATATTTTTTATACTAAAAATAAAAAAAATTTAAAAAAATGCTGAAACATCTCTGATTGTGATATTTATCATCTGAAAATACCAAAAATTTATTTAAAAACTCAAATGCAACCTTTTTTTTGGCGAGTGTATCTCATTTTTAGTTGTACACAACCCAACCATGTTGCAGAATATATAGAAGACACCACCTGCCTTTCTTTAAGTATATTTTCAGATAATAAATTTTGCAATCAAAATTGCTGATTGAACTTGAACTACATGAATCAGCCTTGAACGTCAATATATAATTCATGGTAAACATAGCTTTCCAATATATAGAACCATAAGAGCCTCTCTCTCTCTCTCTCTCTAGTCCTCACAACCACCTTTTTATATTCCTTTCTCGCGCTAAATAATATTATCTCCCGTTTTTAATACAAGATTTTGTTTGATTTTTATTTTGATCCTGAATATAAGACCCCAACTTATTTTGTTTCTTATATTTATGTATTTTTTTAAGGTAGTGTTTTAATTCTAGCCAATACACTTGATTAGCAATAATATTTTAGGAAAGACAACACCCATTTATTACAAATAATTAAGTTAACTTTTTTTTTTAATTTCTTCAAATTAATCAACTAGCTCTTATAATTAGGACTGGAAATAGTAAATATGATGCCTGCCACGCATAAAACAAAAACAACACACGCACACGCATCCATATTTCCAATATTGCGTGACAGATATGGGAAGAAAAGAGAGAATATAGCACCTGAACCGAAAAAGCATATTCTGGATCATGTAAACGAATCATAATCTCTAGAAAGCAGATTCTTTCCTGGCCGCCCCGTCTTAGGGTGTGTTTGGATGAAACCAAACCGTGGTTTGGAAAAGTGATTCTGGAGAATAGATTCTGGAAAAAATAGATTCTGTGAAGAATAGATTTTGTAAAAAAGTGATTTTGAGAAGTGAGAGTGTTTGGATAGTTATTATCAGAAGCACTTTTTATATATACAAATTACTAAAAAAAAACATAAGTTAATATAATAATTACAGAAAAAATAGATTTTATGATATATTTTAATTTGAAGAAATAAAATTGTTAATAATATGTTTTTTACCAACATAATTAATAATACATAAGATAATATAATTAATAAATAATTAATGTCTATATATATTTATAAAATATAAGATTAAATATATTTATAAAAAAATATGTTTATAAAAAAAATAACAAGATACATATCATATAGGCCCTCACACTCTCCCTTTTTTCTCCAAAAGCAAAAAAATTTTGCTTTTTCCAAAACCATGGTTTTGGAGTCAAAACCATGGTTTTGACCCAAAACCATGGTTTTGGTTTTTGGAGAGGCTGTTTGGGTAGCATTTTCCCCAAACCATGGTTTGGGGTGCTATCCAAACAGAGCCTTAGTTTAGTTACATTATTATTCTAAGAGGCAGAGCACTTAAGCAATACAAAATGTACAATATTACATCGGTGAATAATAACAATAATAATCCCTTTATTTTTCCTCCTTTGATTTTTACCTAATCAATTTACAGTTTGATCGTTTTCCACCATTTCTCCACCATCCTTGCTTCTCCCGGAGATGCTTCTTCTTCTTCCCTGTCTGATTTGAAGAGAGACAGAGGGAAAGACGTGGACAAGCCAAGCAGAGACCTGAAGGTAATGACAGAGCCTTGTGGAGGAGGAGGGTCTCTGACATAAATCTCGATCAAGGTGAACCAAACCAGGAAGTCCCTAGCTTTGACCCCTCTCAGATTCTTGATCTTGTTTGGCTCCAAGAATGCCGTAACCTCGGTGTCGAAGCATACGAGGATGTTGTCGAACCTGTGCTCTTTCTTCTCCCTAAGCTTCAGCCAAACGAACCCTATCTCCTTCACGAAGCCACATTCCTGGATGATATTGTTCTCCTCCTCCTGCTGAAACGTCGTCGTCAAGAGCCCATCTGGTAGCCCCATCTCAGCCAGCAACAATGAGAACCTCTCTTTGCAAACTTGGCCTCCATGGTACACCTCAGCTTTCGCCTTCAGCTCCTCTGTTACTAAAGACATGGTGGTTCTTTGGTGTCCTGAGAGCTTCTGGGTGGTACTGATAAACTGATAACGGACAGAAAGATTGAAACTTTGAACCAATTCTGGTGTGGGTGATGATCCTTACGGTGGGGGTTTTATAAAAAGTTTTGGCATTTGTCCCATATATAGTGGTGGGTAGACTTGGAAAAGTGGGCTGGGGTGCGGATACGGGCCAGCCCATCACGGTGAGGGCCAAATGCAGTGCGAGCCGAAGTAGCCCGCAGCCCGAGCCCACTTGCCAGCCTGCCTAAATTTTTTTTTAAAATTTATTATATTAATATGAGTTAAGTCTAATTTGAAATGTTGAAATTAGGTTCCGAGTTTTAAACTTGAGTAATAGATTCTAATAAAAAAACATAAGAATTAATTTATAATTTTAGAAGATATTTAAGAAAAACTAACATATATTTTTTATAAATAATTAATTTAACTAGTTTTTTTATCCAAATTAATTAAGTAAATCTTTTATGTGTGTGTATGTATGACTATATGAAAATCACACATTCATCTAATCTCATGAAGCCGTGTATAGTAATGACAAATAGATATAAAAATAAAAAATGGACAGTGCTCTTCATATAACCATACACATATATATGAAGTGCTTAATTAATTATATATATAATGATATAAATGAGGTAATGTCCATATAAAATTTGAGAGTCAAAATCATCTAACTATATTATATAATGTTTAAAAATAAAAAAAGTAAAAAAAAAAAAAAAGAAAAAAGTAGTTGGCGGGCCAGCTCGCGGTGAAGCGGGCCAAAAGCAGTGCGGGTTAGAGTAACCCGCACTGTGGCGGGCTGGCAAAATGCCAACCCGAGCTTGCCTTTTTTGGTGGGCTGGGCCCCCGTATTACCGGCTCTACTGGTGGGGTCTTAAGCTTACATGGACTGAATTGTCCCATAATACTCATTTTGAGATGAAAATTCTATGTTGTTAACGATGGGTTTTTATCAAAAGGGGAAAAAAAATAGAGAACATTATTCCTTTATTTTACAATTTTTTTTAAATAAAAAGGGATATCATCATTATGCCCAATCAAATTACACAATACAAATACATTAATTTTAAGATTTCTTAAATTACATATTAAATTTAATTTTTTCCTTATCGAATTTTAAGTATAATTTATGTAACTTATTTTATATTTTTATGAAAATTTTGTAAAAAATTTAAAAATAAAAAATATAATTTTAACAGTGTTGATCATATGATTATTTTTTTAATAACATATATAATAGTAGATAAATTTCTATTTTTAATAAAATTTTGAAAAACTACGCAATTTACTCAATCAAGTTGATCTGTAAGAGTCGAATTGTAATGTGAGTTAGTAGCAATAATTTATGTGCGGGCCCAAAAAGAAAGGCAGTAAAAGTTTATATAATTTCTCAAACCACTTTCGGAAAAGAAAAATTACACATTGGTCCCTATAAGACAATTAATTCATAAAAAGTCTCTAAAAATTCCAAAATGATTTTTAAGTCCCCAGGGATCTGTGTGTAATAAATTGAAATTATGAAATTATCTATTTATCCCCATTAATTTTATTGCAATAATTTATTTATAACCTCAACAGTGACTGTTGACAACTCGAGGAGAAGTAGTTAACAATCTCGGCAGTGCCTCTGACAACTCACTCTGTGGGATACCAGAGGCACTGTTGAGGTTGTTAACCACTTCTTCTCGGGTTGTCAATAGTCACTGTTAAAGTTATAAATGAATGGGGATAAATAGATAATTTTACAATTACAATTTATTACACATAGGTATCTGGGGACTTGGGATTTATTTTGGAATTTCAAGAGATTTTTTGTGAATTAATTGTCTTATATGGGCCATGAGCGTAATTTTCCCTTATAAAATGCATTTGTACTGCTCAACGCGCCGCGAAAGCAAATAATTTTCTGGCATTTTCTGGATGCATGGTTTCCGACTTTCATCAGTTGTCTGTCCTCGAAGGGAAGGTTTTCCCACCCTGGGGTTAACTTGTGAAATCGGAGGGAAAACTCGAAAAAGCCACGTTTCAGCCCAATCCATTTTCACTTTGCTTGTGGTCTGCATCAAAAGTTCTTCCCAGAGCCCAAGGAGCTATGGCATAGCGACGAACTGGTCCAATGTCCAATTGTCCCCTCGGTCGTCACATCATTCATCATCAGTTGCTTATTTTTAGTCCACGCTCCACGTGTCTCCGGTGGGCTTTCGATTCCCTCCTGTCTCGCTTTTGGTCGCCCCTTTGGCTCTTTATCTTACAGTGATACTCCATCCTCTCCCAATATTTCATAAGCTTGATCCACTCGTTCGCAGTTCTTTTTCTTTTCCTGGGGTATTTGCGCACCAAGGTGAACGCAATCGTTTCGATAGGTTGCGAAAATGATGAATGAATTCAACTATCTCCTTTTAAATTGTTGAGAAGTGAAGGGAAAATGAAAATCCATTGTGTCTTTTTGTGCATAAGAACCGTACGATTCTCAGGTTAAATTCTTTCCGTCTCCATTTGTTCAGGTGGGGTTTCATCCGATGCCCATCCCCGAATTTTGTCACGGTAAGAAAAGCTCGTAAAGTCACACGTTTTTCGTTTTTGTTTCGAAATTCCAGATTTGTTTGCGCATTTGAGGTTTCAATCATGAATATGCGAAGGGATGGGGTTTTCCCAGAGGAAGTGGTTATTCAGATTCTTGCAAGGTTGCCCATCAAGTCACTTTTTAGGAGCAAAACCGTGTGTAAGCTCTGGTATAGGTTGCCCTCGGACAAGTATTTCATTCAACTCTATAATGAAATATCTAGTGAGAACTCCATGATCCTTTTGGACATTTCAGACGCATCAGAGTCAAAATCTAGCTTGATCTGTGTTGATAAAGTAAGGGGCGGCTCTGAACTTTCGCTGGCATTTTTGAATGATAGAGTTAAGGTTAGGGCATCTTGTTGTGGCTTACTATGTTGCTCCAGTATTCCTGATAAAGGTGTCTACTACGTTTGTAATCCAATGACTCGTGAGTTTAAGTTGCTTCCCAGGAGTAGGGAAAGGCCCGTGACTCGGTTTTATCCGGATGGTGAAGCAACACTGGTTGGTTTGGCATGTGATTTGACATATCAGAAGTTTAAAGTTGTCCTAGCAGGTTACCATCGCACCTTTGGTCATCGTTCAGATGGAAGTTTCATATGTTTAGTGTTTGATTCAGAGTTGAACAAGTGGAGAAAGTTCACTTCATTCCAAGATGATCATTTCTCCCATATGAATAAGAACCAAGTTGTTTTTGTCAATAATGCTCTGCATTGGCTGACTGTTAATTCGGCTTACATACTTGTGCTTGATCTTAGTTGTGATAATTGGAAAAAGATGCAATTGCCATATGATGTGATTTATGGAATGGGACACAGAATATATCTCCTGGAGCTCAATGGTTGTCTGTCCATTATTCAGATTTCAGAATCTTGGATGAACATATGGGTACTAAATGATTACTGGAAAGAAGAATGGTCTATGGTGGATAAGGTGAGTCTGAGGTGTATCAGAGGGATGGTGCCAGGAATCTTTCCGATAAGTCAGACAACTGAATATATTCTGCTGGCAACTCATAAGCAGGTTTTGGTTTATCATCACAGGACCCGAATTTGGAAAGAGATGTACTCTGTGAAGTACAGCTCAACACTCCCATTATGGTTTTCCGCCCATGCATACCGCAGTGCATTGTTCACATGCAATTGAGCTGCGCTTGAATTTGGTGATTTCTGTACATATTTCTAGCTGCAGTATATTGTAATCATTGGACGATTGTTATTTGTTACACGTTAATGGTCTTGTATATTTCAGCACATTATATCAATTGTAGAGTTATGAAATCTGCCTTGCCTTGGATAAACCGTTCAATAGTGGCTACATTAATATCTGAACATTAGCTAATTGGCCCTAATAGTTTTCCTGCCATGTAATAGAAAGAAGACGAGGTGAAATATCCTCAATCATATAAATACTGCAAAGCTGGCTATTGTTATAATTTATTCCTGGTTTTATATTGTATGCTTGTTATTTTGTGCCATGTCCATGGTATTAATGAGTTATTGCTTTCTTATATGTACTGATGATCTTCCCAAGTAGAGACAGTACAATCTAAAAAGCAACCTTCATTGGGCTATATCTTATGTGAATGTTGGGTTTGATTTCAATGTGCGGCTTCCCTCATTGAGTTACATTTTTCCAATCATCTATCAGTCACGTTTCTGATTTTATCCTTTGGCAGCTATCTGGATACAGCCACTTTCTCAATAGATTATTAGTAGAATAATTGAGTTCATAACTGTCCATGGGATAAGGCTTCTTGTTGTCATTGAATCATAACTATTTTGTAACTTTAGTTATTCAGATTGTTGCATGAAAAATTATCACACCCGTCTGTTCAAGCATCTCTAGAGGACATTTTGTTTCAGAATACCCACATCTAGAACTGATTTTCACACGAGTCCATAGGGAATATTTGACTCAACCCTCGACGGTCGTTCACCAGGACATTAACGTTCAGACTGCCTGGTTTCTGAACTGATTATCTCATTCTTAGATGTTCTTGTTAGATGCTCTTGGGGGTTTATTTATAGCCTATGAAGTATGGGCATCAATACAGGAACAGGATTGGACAACATGGTAACATGGTAGAATATGAGATGCTGTTGTGGAATTTGAAGAATGGCCACGTATGATATGATCGTCATCACCACTAGGTTTTTTCCTCTTTACTGTCCATTGCTTGGTAGGCTATGATGCATGGCATCTGCATCAAGAATCCAACAGTAACCATTTGACCTGTTAACTAAAAATGTGGTTAATCATGCATTCAGTCTCATTTACTCAATCCTATCTTCGAGCTAATTGATTACAATTAATGGATCTTCCACATGAACTATCCTTGAGATAATCTTCCCTATCTTCTGTGGTTGGAAGCTTGAATGGGTGTGTATTCAGTTCCATATGCTGAACTAGTGTGTGTGTGTGTGTGTTTTTTTTTTTAATTTCAAACTGTAGTGTGAGTATATCCAAATCTCAAATCTCAGTAATCCTCAAGACATTTATTTGCCAATAAGAAGGGAATTCGAGGGGGATCTTTTCTTTTTCTTTTCTTGTTTCTGATCTTGACATGAATGAGATCAGATATAGGAGTGTGGTTGATTACATGTGAAGGATCTCTCTCTATCTTTGTTCATATTTGCTGTGTCTGGTATGTGATCAGTTCAGTGATCACAGCCTTTCTCGGGAACTGCAGCGTAATCTTCAAAAGACTGCTGCTGAAGCCAGAATCAGCCTGTGTTATCTTTTTCAATGTGTGATTCTGCTGTCATATGTATGACTTTATACTGAATCCTGTCTGTCGTGTGATCATTAACAAATGATCTGCATCTTCCTAAATATTTTGTCCCCTCAGAGCCTGTGTGACTCTTTTTAAATCAAACGAAATATACACATATACATGCTTAAAGGAAAAACAATTTGGATGTTTTATTTGGGAAGAATCAAATAAATAACATAATATTCGAAGAGATATGAGAGTCCTTTTCAAAGGGAGGTGGTAAGCGACCTAATCTTCTCATTATCCGTATTCGGACCTTTTGACTAACTCGCGCCTCATGTAAGACTGGTTGACCAACAGGCTGTTGCCTTTTTCATTTGGCCAGCAGAGTTGTTTGGCAATCTTAACTTGCTGCCCGCTGCTCATTTCATCTGCCCCGCGGTGTCAATTTTACTAGCAATTTTAATTTTTAACTTGAATATATTAAAAAATTAGATAAATTAATTATCATAAATGTGATATAATATTTCTAAAATATTTCTTTCAACATTAAATTATATATTAATTTTTATGTTAGTTAAATTAGTTTAAAAAATAATAAATATAGAAATGAAATGAATCAAAGTCTTATATTTAAAATTAAAATTAATTCTTTATATTAATTGTTTTCCTTCTATATTAAGGATTGGAGGGAGTATGACTATTTATTGACAAATTTAATGATCATCATATTCTCTATCTTTTAACTTAAAAAGTAATTTTGAACTAATGACAATGTTACTACATTGTGTTTTTTTTTTTTAAATATTGTTAGGAAGAAAATTTTACAGGCGTTTCAGTGTATTGTAAGAGAATAGGGTCATCAACTTGCTAGCATGAAATAAAATACACGAGGTTGGAAATATGTTACCAAAACAACACTCAAGTTTAGTGTTCATTGTTTCATATTTTTTGTAGCCCCCCCCCCCAAATTTTATTTGTTCTCAATAAATGTGTTTCTATTTTACTTTTTTTCCCCTAAAAAATTAGATCCATTTTATATTTTTATAAAATATAAATTGGTAAACTCATAAAAGTGACACTAATGTAAGTCGAATTAGGTGCAAATTTAAATTCAAGTGACCACTCGCTTTTAGTCATAAATATTCTTAACTACAGAGGTTATACGGTCTTAAAGCTTTTTCTCATTTATTTGCATTAACCTCATTTTTTATCTGTTCCTTTTATAACATTTCAGTTATGTTTAAAAATTAAAAGCTGAAATAAGTGAAAATATCCTAATAAGGCTTAAATGAGATATATGAGATAATAATATAAAATAATATAAAATAATAGATATGATATTATGAAATAGAAAATAATATAAAATAAAAAGGTATTGTTATAAACGAGGAATGTTGTCTTTAAATACGAAAAAAAAATTAGTAAGAAGATTGCATGTCTTATTGATCCAAAAAAAATTGCATATCTTGATTTTTGTATCATAGAAAGAAAATCTCCTTTTAAACTTCATATTAAATGAGACCTAAAAACGGCATGGATGATTTTTTTTTTAATTTGCAAATAAGGGCGATTGTGGTGTCATTTTTATTACATATTCAATTTTCATTTGTGAATTGTGTCAAGTTTGTAGAATGAATAAATTTTCACAATAAAACTGTACACAAAAATATTAATTAAATGTTCCACGTTTAATCAATTGAAAAATTAAAAAGGGAAAATTTCACTGTAGGACCGCAGAAGACAATTAATGTCAAAGAGCCCCCAAAACTTTCTGAAACTTCACTGCAGGACCAAGGGGGCAAACTGATATTAATTCCACAAAGAAAATGACGCTATTGCCCCTCATAATACTTATTGTAGGGTGACATGTAAATAGACTAATTTCAGTTGTAAATAAAGGTATGTATGTTGTAAATTGACTAGTCCCATTTGCAAATGGGTTCTCTCACACTTATTCACTCACAGGCACCTTTTTCAGGTGAATGAGGTGATATGTAAATGGACTAATTCTAATTATAAATAAATGTATGTATGTTGCAAATTGACTAATTCCACTTACAAATGGGCACTCCTACACTTGTTCACTCACGGAGACCTTTTTCAGGTGAAGGAAGTGACATGTAAATGGACTAATTCCAGTTGTAAATAAATATATGTATGTTGCAAATTGTCTAGTCCCACTTGCAAATGGGCTGTCCCACACTTATTCACTCAGACACATTCTTCAGGTGAAGAAGGTAATGTGTAAATGGACTAATTTTAATTGTAAATATATCTATGCATGTTGTAAATTATCTAACCTCACTTGCAAATAGGTTCTCCCATACTTGTTCACATGAGGGGCAATAGGGTCATTTTCTTTGTGGAATTAATATCAGTTTGCCCCCTTGGTCCTGCAGTGAAATTTTAGAAAGTTTTGGGGGCTCTTTGAAATTAATTATCTTCTGCGGTCCTACAGTGAAATTTTCCCAATTAAAAAACTATGACGAGGTCAGCATGGAACGTGGGCATCGGCAGGGATGCTCTTCCGTGTTTGGAACACGAATAATGAGTAAGCCAAACAGTGCCTTATTCAGCAGCATCAGTGGCCGTGGATGAGAGGGGAGTAACAAGGCCGGGTCAAGAAGGAGGCTTTGCCATTCTACAGCTTCGTGAGTGGCTCCCTCTCTCTGCAGCCTATACTCACAGCTTTTGGCATCTTCCCCTTATATAGCTTCCCTATCCGATTCCTACAAGATGAAAATACGCCAAACAGCAATGTTGTTTTGGGGTTTTTGGTACCCAACAATCCTCTGGTGTTAGGGATTTCCATCTTTCTATCTCTCCTTGCTTAATTTTTTTTTCCATTGGGCATCTCGTCTGTATCATCGTGGGGTAGCTTAAGGTATGTTCTTAGTGATGATCTCCGGCTGCACATTCTTCTTGCATGTAATCTTTCATCACTAGGTATTCTTTAACTTTATCGCGGTCTTCGTTTACGTTTTTGTTGAGATATTCGTTGAATTTCATGTGGGGGGCTGTGTGAATGATAATGGGTTTTGCAACATCTAGGATTTTGGGGTTCTTCTTTTTAAATACTTTATTGGGTTCTTGAGTATCAGTTTTCTTGCTGATGAACTGGAAACTTTGTACACAAGCTATGGGTATTACGAGTTAAATAAGAGACTTAAAACGTGTTCGTAACTAGCGTTTAGTATGTGACGACTTGAATTGCTGTCTGATAATGACACATAGGCACTGCCTTTGCGTTCACCTGCTTTCTATCCCGACAATTAGCATGCATCACACACCAGCATAAGATATAATTAAAGTTGCGATTGACCTCATATTTGTCAGATTCTTCTTGTGGATAATTTTGCATCCGACCACATGCATTCACGTTGACCACTACTTGTATGAAGTAGTTTGCTTAGCTTATAGAAGCACTTGTTCTTATCTGTTCTACGGCGAGTCACATATATAACATTATATTGCCATCGTCGCTATATCTTTCATATTAAGTTACTCACACCTCGAGTAATCAAGTTGTTATTAGGAGTTTTCTGATACTCAATTATGTTGTTATAGGGAAATTGCAATCAGTGAAGAGGCTTGGCGTCATTGGGGTTGAAATTTTCCATCAATAATATATTGATGGTTAACTATATCTATGTAATCTCTTACGACTGGGTGAAAACTTGACATGTCCTTCATAAGTGCAGTTCTTGCGTTGAGATACCTGCAATTACATGCTGAAACTTTCTATTCTATAGCTCCAGAAACCGGGCTTAATACCACCATTGTGGCATGCTTCGTCTGATGGAATTAAAAATGGCATAATTTGAGATCTCCTTTGTACTGTTCCTCAAGATATTGACGATTTATGGCTCGGAAAGGTAATCAACAGAAAAACGGAATGGATCATCATGGTTTGAACCACAAAAAACCGGTTTCTGGGTCTGTGCTTTCAGATGTGAAAGGACATGCTAAAGGTGGCAAGGTGAAGGTCTTCCCTGGCGAAGAGGTCCCAGATAGAAACCAGAGCAGCAGTCCTTCACAGAATGCCCAAGAAACTACTGCTGGAGATGGTAAATACAATGTGCGAAACTGTGAGAAATTTTCCAGGAAAGAGAAGCGGGGAACAGTTAATGAGCATGACCTGGGGGAACCATTGTCTTTCAGGAGTAATTCAGGAGAAGGCAGTCAGAATATGGAAATTCCTATACAAAAAGAAAATGGGGCATTACCTAGAAGTAATCAAGGTCAACTAAATATGAAAAGTTGGTTGAGCTATTTCCTGAATTGGTTTCACATCCAAAGTATTGTAGAAAAAGTAGATGTTGCCAATAATACGTATTTTTGGAGATTAAGGTTGTGGTTATCATCCATCTTTGCAGCAGTTACAATGTGGCTAACCAGACGGAAGCCATTGTTTGTATCTGTAACGTCCAGTATTTTCAAAGCGTGTGATCATCTTAAAATGAAAATCCAGCAGGCATATCCCGTTGCTTTGAAATGGGTTTTACAGTTTGGGAATATACTGCTTCTTTTATCAGTGTTTTGGTTGGACTGTGCACTTAGGGGTATTGATTCCTTTGTACGAATGGGGACTGTTTCCTTCTTCTCTGTTATATGGTGCAGCATATTCTCGGTGATTGGTATGATAGGGATGCTCAAGTTTCTTGTTATTCTGGTAAGCGGTAGTTATTATTGTTTCTACCTTCAAGTTAGGTTTTGATCATTGTTGTTTGTTGTTGTTGAGTGAATATACTTTGTTGAATCTTTTTAACCGTTATTCATATTTCTCGCTTCCTTATATGTAACCTCTGTGTTAATAAATTTTGTATATCTTCAACACATTAGGTGGCCCTAGTGATTATTTGATGTTATGGTCTTGCTGTTTTGATTCTCCATTTTCTTGTCATGGTTGGAAGTTGGCATATGTAAATGATGAATCATGAAACTGGATTTTAGAAGATCCCAAAAGTATCATTATACCTTTTTGAGAATTCAATTTTGCACATTTGAATGAGTCATTCATGAGTTTCTATGTAATTTATATGATGATTGTGTATTTTTATCCTCAATGTGAAGAACAATGGATCTAATAAATTTTCATGAGCTCCAAAACCTTTGCTGTCTTCAAGTGTGTAATAGGTGTTTTAAATGTTAAAGCAACTGGCACGGAAATTTTAACAGCCCTTCTGGCTTTTTTTGTGTGATTGGTTTTGGTTACGGAGGAGCCAACTGTATGATTTTCACCAAAAAAAGGAGCCAACTATATGATTGAGTATGAATATTGTGAACTTGAAAGAATTCCAGCTTTGGATTATGAATATTTCACTGCCTGTTGTCTCATTTATTTGTAGCTCAGTAGGTATAGATTTTGGGTGAATACCGTGCTTTATTTTCATCATTTATCTGTAAGATCGCTATTTAATATCTAAATGTTGACCTGCTCCTAAATTATTTTATAGCCTTTTTTCTCTCTCTCACAATTTCACTGTCAGAAGCTGGAGGCATTGGATGCCATTTGCAACTTCTAGATATATGCTTGTTCTCATAATTGCAATTTTATATTGAGAACTAAAGATATGCCCGGTAATCCAGCGATAAATGACCAAGCAATATGCCAAATTCATAACTCCCATCATCACACTCCCTGTGGGGTGGAGATGCACGTTATCTGTTTTGTAACATTTTGTTTTGTGCATGGTGTTGATTTGCATATAGCGTGACTCACCATGATTTTCTTTCCTGAAATTGGTTTTGAGTGCCTCTTGTAGCTGAAATACGTGTTTTCCTATATACTCTAACTGGTTCTCATAATGGCTCAGGGCCTGGCTGCCTTGATTGGATTCTTCCTTGGGCTTACTCTTGCAACTTTGGTAGTTGCAATCCTTGGACTTGTTTTCTTGTGGATTTATGGCAGCTTCTGGATAACTGCAACTTTCATCTTCCTTGGAGGTGATCTGTTGGTCTTTTGTGTTGTTTGGATCATTTTCTCTGTCTCTCTGAGCCTTTTTGTGTTTGCACCCTCACAATACATATTTATGTTCATGTACAAAGCATTAAGATATGCTGTTATCATGCATTTTCCTGGAAAAGTTACTAATGCTTGTCAATATTTAAATTCAGGACTGGCATACAAGTTGAGCCATGAACGTCTTGCACTACTTATCACCACTGTGTATTCTGTCTATTGTGCTTGGATGTATGTTGGGTGGCTTGGCTTGCTATTGGCTCTAAATCTGTCATTTATTTCAAGCGATGTTCTAATATACTTCCTCAAGAAAAGGATAAATGAGCAAAGTCAATTCAATGCTTCTGAACATAGAGCTGGAATGCAAGGTCAGCCAGATTTCTCTAGTGATGAGCCAATGCACGCTTACTCTGAAAATGGGGCTGGATCGTCTGCGGATCGAAATGCTGGAGTACCTTCAACTAGTGGGGTTGACTCTGATTTACCTTCTGAAGATGAAGTCGTCCGTTTGTTGAACTGCTCTGATCATTACTCAGTATTGGGCCTGACCCGCTATCAGAACATTGATGCCTCACTAGTGAAACGGGAATATAGGAAAAAGGTTATTGCCATTCTCTGATGCTGATACTGGCTTAACTATGTCTTGTTTCTTAGTAGATCTATCTAATATGCTATACTCTTAGTCTTAGGTGTTACAGGACCGTTAGTGATCCTTTGAGCGGTTATCTAGTGCTTATTGTTTTTCTTCTATAAATTTATAACAAACTTTTTGCATCTTGCTGCTGTTGCTTGATAATTTCTTACGTGAATTAGATGTTTATATTGAATGTTAGGCAATGTTGGTGCATCCTGATAAAAATATGGGTGATGAAAAGGCAGCAGAAGCTTTTAAGAAACTTCAAAATGCTTATGAGGTAAGTTTGCTGTTTTTGCTCACTCAGAAAGTCGAGCAAATTCCACCTGAATCTTTTGTACAATCATAATAAATTCCCCAGGTTCTTATGGACTCCTTGAAACGGAAAGCTTATGATGATGAATTGAGGAGGGAGGAGCTTCTGAGTATCTTTCGCAGGTTTCAGACTGCTTCTCAATCTCAAAAGGTATGATGTCTGTATTTAACATAGTGATCAGCATTAAGTTTATGAATATGGCCAGTGGAAATAGTTATGGATATATAGATGACCCTGGAGGGACGGACTCGTTACCATTGTTTATAAATCATAATAGAAATGAAGCATTGCTCCTTTGATATATTACATGTGCTATATAAGAATAGATAAAATGAGAAAAGCAGACATGATTAACTGCTATGCTGTCTTAACAGCAATATTTGTGCAAAGTTTACTAACCTGGAATTGTAACATGAGTACATCAAACATACGGTGGGTATTCAAGCATTTGTATTTCCCACTGAAAGGTTCATCTGATTTTTTTTTTTTTTTTTTAAATTATTCGCTAGGTCTTTGAACTTTACCAACAACTTGAAATGCTTAATCATCTTTCTAGTTTTGGTGCTCATATCTTATCTAACTTTAGCCCTGGATGTTTTGGTAGAATGGTAGGCATGGATTCTTCCCTTCAGGATTTGCACGATCAGATGCAGATGGTGATGACCCTTTTGGTGATTCAAGGCGAATATCATGCAAAAAATGCGGCTGCTTTCATATATGGATACACACAAAAAAACAGAAGTCTCGGGCAAGATGGTGCCAGGTTTCCCTTCATCTCCTTAATGGATCCTCTGATACTTATGAATGACTGTTAGTTAAGCATATCAGATTTTTCCACAATATTTACCTTTGTACAGTCACATGTTTTCCTTGTTGAGAAAGCTTTTCTTCTTTTCCCTGGCACAGCACTTATATTTTCCGCCGTGTTGTTTCATTTAAAGGATTGCCAAGATTTTCATCAAGCCAAAGACGGTGATGGATGGGTTGAACAGTTGTCCCAGCCATTTCTTTTTGGATTGCTGCAGAAGGTGAGGGTCAAAGTACCATGTCGGATGGAAAGTCTTGTTATTGGGAAGCATTTTGTGGCCTATAGTCTTGCTTTCTGATTTTAACCTTTTTCAAAACTAGCATTAAAATGGAATTTTGGCGTCGTTGTTGCATGTATTATTAGTTATGACGTCAGAATATGATATTCTTACTGCTTTTTTGCCCTTTTTTTCCCAGGTGGATGTGCCTGCTGCTTATGTGTGTGCTGAAAGCCAGATATATGATGCCACGGAATGGTATACCTGTCAGGTACTGTAGTGGTTACTCCCCCCCCCCCCCAAAAACCGGGAAAAAAATTTTATTTTTATTCATCTTATGATGTGCCGCTTGTCTTTGTTGAAGTAAGCATGAGGAACCTGCCCTTAGAAACTAACTAGAAAGGAAAAAGAACTATGCCCTTAATCTCGGCAAGAATTACTTGTGGCCACCCAACATGGGGATTCATCGTGGCATCCTTGATTGCATTACAGGGCACTCGCTCCAGCCAGCAGATTGGAATGAGGAATGATTTCTTTTGAAGTGCTAAACTAATACTTGGACTGCTTCTTGTCTTCTCATGAAATTGTTTAGTTTACCTTGCTTCCAAGCTTGCGCCTTGAGGTTTATATGGAGATTAAGATATTCACAAGACACTAATACTGAACATATTTGCTGCAGGGTATGAGATGTGCGGCAAATACTCATAAGCCAAGTTTTCATGTAAACACTAGTTTAACATCAAAGCATGGTTCAAGTAAAGGATCACATTCGGGTCAAAGAGGTGGTCGGATGCCAACAATGAATGTGGAGGAAACCATGACAGAAGAGGAGTTTTTTGAGTGGTTACAGAATGCAGCACAGGCAGGCATGTTCGACAATTTTGGTGGCAGCACTGCTGCCGAGAGTCCGTCTAACTCCGGGAGCGGGATGAAAAATCCTGGCAGTAGCGGCAGCAGTGGAAGCGGAAGCAAGAGAAAGAAAAAGGGAAAGAAACAACGATGAGAGCAAAGTCATCTTCTATATCATTGAGGGCAGGACTTGTGGGTACTTTTTAGTCTCGAAGATGGTGGGAAACTCGGAACCCATTGTATAGTGTTATTATCCCCAGTTATATCTGCTGTCCCTTGATTTTCGGGTATTTTGTCCACTGCAATATGATAGCCTTAAGAATAGATGGCATGGCAATGATCCTTTTGCCCTTGATTTTTCCCAGCCAAGTTGCTATACGCTTAAAACCTTCAGAGTTGAACCTCTGAAGAGAGGGTGATAATAGTAAACCCCAAACATCATACTTAGTCTCTTTTCTGCTCATGTTCAGAGAAAATGTTGGTGTTATCACCAATCGATGCAGTTAGATCAGCGAAACAGCTTTATATTATTGTCAGAGGACATTTGGAATAGAATAAGAGCAATAGCACACGAGATATTCACAAACTTGCTCTTTTGAAGCTGCTCTCCTAAAATTGTGGTATTAATTGTTGGTGGGTCCAAGCGCAAGGAACAAAATACTTACTATTTACTGACGTTACCCTCCTGCCGCGGGACTTGAAATTTTGGCAGTGTCGCAGTTAAATTTAATCAGCCTATAATGACTGAAAAAATTTCCGAAATCTTTTTTAAAATTGAGTCTGGATAAGACTTGATGCTTCTTGTTATCTAGGCTAATTTGTTTCATCATATGCCTCTCACGAGTCAAACCACTTAAATTGAAATATAATTACGGCTTTTCTTCTACTGAAGATATAATCACAGGTTAGCTATGAAGGATGCGAGAAAGACAATTTTGTAAGAAGCATCACCCATCCATAGATTGAAGAACTATGATACTGTTTTAAAACCTTAATTTAAGATAATCGAAACCCTCAAATAAGCAGTTAAACATGAATATCACTTCTAACTCAATTGCGAGAAAAATGAGTAAATGACCTTTTTGTGTGTGTAATTTCTTAGACCGAAGAGTAAATTATTGTTCAAGGTAATCATTCAAATTATCACCAAAAAAAAAAAAGTTGATAACTCAACTATCAAAAATCAAAACAAATTTGAAAAATAAAAATTGAAGCTTTAATAGAAAGTAGCCTTACTCCCTGGTGACGCTTCGCGGATATATCACTGCCGCGACTTTTTTAGCTGTTTCTCTTGTAAACTTCCTTCATGGAGGTACTCCTACCGACTTCATCTACAGCTTATCTTCCACTGAAGCCTCCAAAGATGATGATGGGCAATGGAGTTAGAGCGATAAATTACAATCCCTGTTCGATATCCGCTGATAGGAATCTTTCATATTCTTCGTTTTCTTTCCTGCCATTTTCTGGGCGTAGGAAATCAGTATCATTGATTGTGGGGGCCTGTAACAGGGACAAAAAAGAAGATAGCCACAGCTTCATACCCAAACCCGACGAGGCCACAGGGTTTTTCCCTGAAGCTGTTCTCCTTAAACAGGTTAGTTTCGTACAATTAGAAGCCCACGTTTTGCTATTCTTGTTTCCCAGTTTCATAGTACAGTTTTCCCTATTAGATGACGGATGCTTAGGTTTGGTCGAGAGAACAATGGAACCCTTTGAAAGATTTTCTTAGCTCAGAAAATATCAGTAGAATTGACATGATTCAACCCATCTTCTCTCTTGTGAAAACTTATCTGCGCTCTATTAATTAGATGGAGAATCTCACTAACAAGAGTATGGGTATTGGTTTTTTTTTACCCCTCCTTGTTTCTGTTGTTCTCTTTGATAATTCCTTGTTAGACTTGAACAAGATTGGTTTATATCATATTATTATGTCGCCGTAGTGTTTGACTGTTTGTCCACTTGACACTAATGTCTAGCCCGTTTTCATTATGAGTTGATTTTTTTCGATGACAATGAAGTGAAGTTTGTTAATTCCAATTTCAGAAGAAAGTTGAGGAAGACGGGAAGGTTCTTCCAGAGTTTGCAGATGCTGAAGAGAGTGAGTGGTCATAATTCATTTATTCAATTCCTTCTAGTTGCCTCCATCTTTTATTTAAAGATTTTTATTGATAATGGATACTGTATTGAGCCTTTTGTTCATTTGTTTTAATTTGCAGGACAGCTCTACGAATCTCTGGTGCTTGAGCTGGAAAGTGATATGGATGTAGATCAAAGTAAGTAGGGCGTTGAATCAATTGTCCGTTCCTTTCTGACTGGAAAAAGGATTAGAGAAGTAATGTTTTATGTTGTCGTTTCTTGTATCTGACCAATGAAGTCACATACCTGTACATGTCAATTCTAAAAATTTTAATGCTTCGATATCAATCGTCTTCTATGAAGGTGGAAACAATAAAATGTTTGTTTACTGATTGTTTTATAGATCTCATGAGCATTTAAAGTCATTTCTCTCACAATATTTTGCTTTTTTAATCTTACAGTGCGCCACTATGAGGTTGTTTACTTGATTCACGAGAAGCACGAAGAAGAGGTTGCTGCTGTCAATGAGAAGATTCAGAGTACTTTTTCTCTCAATCTTTTTGCGCCCTGTTGCCCAAAGTCCCTGATGCTATGTAGAATTGGTTCCTTAATTTCCCAAGATATTTGAGTGATTCATTTTCTGGCCTGGGAATTAGCAAACCTCTCTTTCTGGCCTTAGGAGATTTATGAAATTGTTCAGTATATAAGTGAAACATAGATTTTTCATTGTATTAGTTTTCACATAGCTATTTCTGTTGAAAATAGAACAAAAAATATCACAGAATCCCAGTAATAACTAAACCAGGTAGGTCAGATGACATATTTTGAACCACATGGGCAAATTAGTTGCGGGTCTAACTTTAAAGGGGTAAAACTATAATAATATACTTTGCTCAAACTAAGAAAAACTCCTAGATGCATGATATTGTAGGATTGCCAATTTGATGCCTGCATGGCTTTGAGTAACATCATAAAACACTAAAACTGTTGCATCAATTCCTTAACATTAACCTGGACACAATTACTTGCTGTGTTAGAGATCAACATTGCCTTAATAGCTTGATCTGGTCATCCTCCTCACACTTGTGCAAACACAATTTGCAGACTTTCTAAGGGAGAAAAAGGGCCGAGTGTGGAGGCTCAATGATTGGGGAATGAGACAACTAGCTTACAAGATAAAGAAAGCTGACAGAGCACATTACATTTTGATGAACTTTGAGGTTGATACCAAATACATTAATGAGTTCAAGAGTCTACTGGACCAAGATGAACGAGTCATCCGGCATCTCGTAGTAAAGAGAGACGAGGCTATCACAGAAGATTGCCCTCCTCCTCCGGAATTTCACGCTCTGCGTGCTAATGTTGATGATGAAGGAGGAGAAATTGACGCGGAATATGATGGAGATTATGACGACGATTGGGACGGGGAGGAAGAGATGGATGGCGATGATGGAGACAATATTATCTACATAGATGGTGATGAAGATGTTGAAGCTGATGGCAGAGAATCTAGAGATGAGACATTAACCAACATAAGACAGCCAGAAAGAAGATTGAGAGCTGAGAAAGTAGGCAGGTAGGCAGTGGGTAGGTGTCATTTTGTATCCTAAATTTCTTAGTCTTAGAGCGATTTTACGCATTATGACTTTGCATTTGTAGAGTTTAAAGTAATTAAGATGAGTTTTGTGTTGTTCACCCAAAACTTAAAATCATGAGTTGGCTGTGTTTTCGTCTATAAGCTACGTGCATGCTGATATAATGCTGCTGCACTGATAAATGTCACATACATGAACTTCAAAACTTTTTTGCACCCAACACGTCTATGTTTTCAGTGGTAGAGTTCTAGGACTTCAATAAAGTTAAAATTGAAGTACATTTATGTAATTTGCCCCCTTTTTTTTTTTTTTTTTAATTCCTTCTTAAGTTCTCATGTTTGCCTGTACTGGAGCAACCATCAGAATTCTATGGAAAAAGAAAATCATTATTTCAGACTAACGATATTAGGATGAAAGGATAAAAACATATTTTTTAAAATTAAGGTACTAAATTTTAACTTTATATAAAATTAAATGATGAAATGTGTACTTTTGTCAAACTTTGCTGGCAACAATCAAATCTAATTTATCTAGTTTTCATTATTTATGCATAATTTTTTTTATAATAAGAATTTTTTTTCGATAGTGTAAACTTCAAGAAAACAACAAAATTGTGATGAATGGTGACGGATGATCAACGTTTTCGAGATAGGAGACCTTTGTTATTATTTAGATTTTAGAGGGTGCAATATAGAAATAGAAGAAACATCTTAGTTCCGAAATGCAGAAATAAGTGGAAAAATATCACTCAGAAAAAATTATTTTTTAAATAATAACAAGGAAAAATATTTAGTGACAATAAGGTTCAAAAAAAAAAAATAAGGAAAAAAATATTTAATGACACTTCTAGATTCACCATATCCTTTTTGATTTAATCTCTGCCGTTGTTGTTTTTTCTTTTTTTTAATATAGCATAAGTTTGGAGGAATTACAGTCAATCGTCTTGATACAAAAACAAATTAAAAATAACATTGGTAGCGATCTTATGTCTAACTAATAAATTAAAAAGTAGATTTAATGGATCAAGGTTCGAATTTCAACTAAGAAAAATATTTACTTTTAGTATTTGATAGTACCTTGAATAAGATCGTTTCTAATAAGAGGATATTTGTTCTTATTTAAATCTTATAAATGAAAAAAAAAGAGCAGGTTAGTCAATGATTGAATTAAGAATAATGGCGTCTGCTATAACAAGGAAAGAATGATTGATTCCAGGGGCTTAGATTACTTGCAAAAACTGTCCACGCAACACGAAATTTGGGAAGCTAGCTTGGAAAGGAAGTTAGTCAAGGCAGCTAACATAGGCAAACCTAATCTTAGCACAAGAGTCAGAATGAAAGCACGTGAAAATACGTTAAAAATTCCAAACTCATACATTTGACAAACTTGTCGGCGCACTTCCTTGCCCTGAAAAACCATCAATCTCTCTCTCTCTCTCTCCCTATCTGATTCGCCAAAAAGAGATAAATCTTATCTCTTTCACTCTTCTGACATTAAGTTAATGAAAACCTGAACTTGTTAAATTAACGTTGCCATGAGGGTTTTTCCTGAGTGCAGCAGCGTGATCCAACGATTTCTTGTACTGCAAGTTTTCAAATCGTCATGCCCTTTGACACGAACCCACGTCCCGTTTTCTTAATCTCACCATCATTATATTACTGTGTGAATACGTTTGAAAAATTTTACATATCAGTCTAGATGGACTAATCTGTTTTATTATCTCGCCTTTCTTTTCTTTTTGGCCTGGGTCATTTTCAGAGAAACAATAAAAATATAAAGGCGTTTTTGTTTAGTTCAAAACGGAACGCCATTTCACTTGGTTGAAATTATTTCGTCAATCAAATCAACTTAAAACCTGGGAGCAATCTTCATATGGCATGTCCAGAAGGCATTCTTTAGAAAGCATTCACAAAAAGAACACGTAGCAACAAACCGACCCAAACTGTTTGTCAAAGGACACGGCCGGTTACTTGTATATATAAGTCATACGTGAATCACGAGAACACAGACCAAAGACAGAAACACCGAACAGAAAAACAGGCAAGAAAGATGGGTTTTAATGATACTGCCACCTTAAAGACCTCCATGAATGTGGCTCTTCTTAGCTTTCTGCTGTTGCTTGTAATTGTAAATGGACGCATGACGAACAATGATGAAGATCTTCTGGAGTTCCCTCTGAATCTAGAGTACTTGGAAGCTGATTTCTTTCTGATCGGGGCCTCGGGTCATGGATTGGATTCAGTAGCTCCACAACTAGCTGATGGTGGACCCCCACCAGTTGGTGGCAGATTGGCTAATCTGGGCTTCTTAGTCAGAGACATCATCCTCCAGTTTGGATTCCAGGAAGTTGGTCACCTAAGGTTGTTCTTGAACTGTATGAAACAAAACATGCTTGATCTTAATATTATTTTACTGTTAAAATTCTGGTTTGTTTTGTACGTGTAATACTGCAGGGCTATAAAAAGCACAGTGAAAGGGTTTCCAAGGCCATTGTTGAACTTGAGCAGTGAAGCATTTGGTGAAGTGATGAACAATGCATTTGGGAGGCGTCTATACCCTCCTTTTGATCCCTATGCAAATGAAATAAACTATTTGCTTGCGTCTTACGTCATTCCTTATGTTGGCCTCACCGGTTATGTTGGAGCAAATCCACAGCTCCAGAACTTCACTTCTAAGGCGGTAAGCCTCAAAATCAACCTTACGCATACGTTTAACAATCTCTAACCTCATTAGTTTCTCTCATGAAACTATATACTACCTTTAGTCCTTAATATAAGAGCTAGTTGAGTAATTTGAATAAATTAAAAAATTTTATTAAGTTAATTATTTATAATAATTAGGTATTGTCTTTCACAGAATATCATTACTAATTATTTGTATTGGCTAGAACTATCATCAAATTTGAATTGGGACAAGAGAATTTGCAATCCCCCTCGACATGCCACCAAAATGATGCCAATATATATATATATATATATATATATATATATGAGCTACCCCCTCCAAAAAAACTAAAAAAAGGAGTTCTAAATTGGTTTTTTTTTTAATTTGTTTATATTTTCAGTTCTATTTTTCTTAATCCCATTCTTAAAAGAAACCCTTCCCCCATTTTCACAACTAAAATCTTTTTTTTTTAAAATTGAATTTTTAACATGTACAATTATTATAAGGATTACTTTGAAAAAAATGAATAAATATAAGACACAAAGTGATTAAAATCAAATTGAATGTCAAGCCAACTCTTATATTAAGAATTGGAAGTAGTAAAAATTAACTTGGCATGTTTAAACACGATTGTGTATTAGACCTTTGAGAAGCAGGTATATATTGGGGCTGTCTTTCTATCAAAATACCTAAAGCCGATTTGATAGGACCTACCTTAAAACTATATACTTTCAATTTATTATTGATAAATCTCTATTTCCCCATGTTATTTTTATACTCCTCCGGTCTTAAATATAAAACCCTTATACACACTATAAAAAAGTATTATTTTAGAGACTTTTATTTAAAAAAAAGAGTTAGATTACATTTATTGTGATTATTTTAAATTAAATATTGATTACATTAAAATAGGGTTTAAGAGGATATTTTTATGTTTGCTCTTAAATAATTAATTCTGGGACTTTGTAATACTATATTATCTGAGATTGTTTTTGCAGGAGGACAAATTGAATTTAAGAGGTGGAAAGAGAGAAAAAAAATAATAAAATCAATAAATGAAGGACCCAATACACACGGTTTTTTAAAAGAAGTAATTATCTAATTAGTTTATGTGGAAATTTCTCATATATTATAATATCCTTCCTACTACTATTATTATTTATTAGGCATACCATGTTCATTTGATTCTAAAAAAAAAAAGAAGGTATGCCATGTTCATTTTTTCCTCAATCTTAATTATTTTGTGTCCCAAATTGAATGATTCTAATACCATATTAGACTCTTGAAAAATAGAGATATATACATATATATGTATATTAGGCTTGTTATGAAAATAGCTTCATACGACTTTTCTTAAAACTACATATATACCCCGAATTTGTTCCATAATGAGTTGGCATGAAACTCTCATATTCTAATAGTGAGCATGTATTTTACAGCTAGTGGCGGGGCTCCTGGGGGTGGAATCAGGACAAGACGCGGTGATCAGAAGTTTGTTATACGAACGGCGGGAGGCGACGGTGGCGCCTTACGGAGTGAGCGTGGCTGAGTTCACGAATCGGATATCGGCTTTAAGGGACAAGCTGGGGAAGGAAGGGCTGAAAGACGAAGGGCTCATAGTGCCAAAAAACTTGGGAGCAGAGGGAAGAATTTCAGGGAATGTGCTTGCTGGTGACAAGAACTCGCTTGCATACGGAAGAACCCCTAGGGAAGTGTTGAGGATAGTTTATGGAAGTGGTGATGAACGCTATCCTGGTGGATTCTACCCTCGTGGTGCTGATGGGCGTATTGCCAAATCTTACAGAGCAAATAATTAGTCATTCTCATAATAGGCTTTTGTTGTTTGAGGCAGAAGATCTTAATAAGTTATATAATAATTAGAAGATTTCTGCTTGATCGTTTATCTTAGACTGTACTTAGTCTGTGTTTGATTTGGATTTGTTACCGCTACAGTCTTACTTCAACAAAAGGCCCTTGGAATGGTTGGGATAATGTTTTATTGAAGGGTAATTTCGCTTAGAAAAAGAGCTGTTTTCTTCTGTTTTAAAAAAAAAAAAATATAACATTAGAATACGAAGAGGAGAAAAGAAGCTGCAAATTTAGATCCCAACTTGGAGACCTTATCAAAATTCAATCTTGCTGCCATTTTCAGTTCCCCTACTGGCAATGTTGTACTATAACCACTCTATCTGCTTTAAAAGTAGCTTCATGATTGACACACAGGATTTCTCAAAATTCTGGTATCCAATCATCTGCCACATTCATACAGATAAACTATCAACTATCTCATGAGGATTTGGTGGCCGATACAAGATAACAAGAGGTAGTTAAACCACCTGAACTTTTTAGTTATTACTCCAGACATTAGTTGTATATATAAGTCATACGTGAATCACGAGAACACAGACCAGACACAGAAATACTGAAGAGAAAAACAGGCAAGAAAGATGGGGTTTAATGATACTGCCACCTTAAAAAACTCCATGAATGTGGCCGTTCTGAGCTTTCTAATGTTGCTTGTAAGTGCAAAAGGACGCATAACGATCAATGATGAAGATCTTCTGGAGTTCCCTCTGAATCTAGAGTACTTGGAAGCTGATTTCTTTCTGATCGGGGCCTCGGGTCATGGATTGGATTCAGTAGCTCCACAACTAGCTGATGGTGGACCCTCACCAGTTGGTGGCAGATTGGCTAATCTGGGCTTCTTAGTCAGAGACATCATCCTCCAGTTTGGATTACAGGAAGTTGGTCACTTAAGGTTGTTCTTGAACTGTGTGAAACGAAGCATGCTTGATCTTAATATTGTTTCTCTGTTAGAATTCTGGTGTGTTTTGTACGTGTAATACTGCAGGGCTATAAAAAGCACAGTGAAAGGGTTTCCAAGGCCATTGTTGAACTTGAGCAGGGAAGCATTTGGTGAAGTGATGAACAATGCATTTGGGAGGCGTCTATACCCTCCTTTTGATCCCTATGCAAATGAAATAAACTATTTGCTTGCGTCTTACGTCATTCCTTATGTTGGCCTCACCGGTTATGTTGGAGCAAATCCACAGCTCCAGAACTTCGCTTCTAAGGCGGTAAACCTCAAAATCAACTTTACGCATACATTTAACAATCTCTAACCTCATTATGGTCTCACATAAAGCTATATACTACCTCTAAATATACTACTTTTGATTCTTAATACAAGAGCTATTTAGCTAATTTAAAAATTTATTGAGTTAGTTATTTATAATAATTATGTGTTCTTTTTCATAAAATACCTTTGTTCATTATATATATTAGTTAGAACTATTATCAAATTTGAACGGGGAAAAAGGATTTGCAATCCCCCTTCTAACCGCTCGACCGTGCTGCCAAAATTATACCCAAAAAAATGAGAATACCCCAACAACTGAAAAAAAGGGTTCTAAGCTTCTTTTTTTTCTTTTTTTTTATTTGTTTGTGTCTTTGATTCTATTTTCCTTAATCCCCTTCTCAAAAGAGACCCTTCCCCCCATTTCACTACTAGAATCTTTCTTTTGATTGAACCTTTAACATGTATAACTATTACAAGAATTATTTTAAAAAAAATAAATAAATATGAGAGACAAAGTGAATTGAGGTCTTATATTTAAAACCAAATTAAATATTAAACTAACTCTCATATTAAAAACCGGAGGTACTAAGAATTAATTTGGCATGTTTAAACAAGAGTGTGTATTAGACCTTTGAGAAGTAGGTGTATATTGGGGCTGTCTTTCTATCAAAATACCTTAAGCCGATTTGATAGGATCTGCCTTAAAACTATATACCTTCAATTTATTACTTATAAATCACCATGTTCTTTTATATTATTTTGGAAACTTTTATCAATTAAAATGAGTTATATTGTATTTATTGTGGTTATTTAAAAGTAAATATTGATTACATTAAAATAGAGCCTAAAAAGGTTTTTTTTATGTTTTGTCTTAAATAATTAATTTTGGGACTTTATGTTAAAATAGAGCCTAAAAAGGTATTTTTATGTTTTCTCTTAAATAATTAATTTTGGGACTTTATGATACTATATTATCTCATATTATTTTTGCAGGAGGACAAATTGAATTGAAGAGGTGGAAAGAGGGGGAAAAAAATAAAGTCAATGAATGAAGGATCCAATGTACACCGTTTTTAAAAAGAAGCAATTATATAATTAGTTGATGTGGAATTTTCTCAATATTTTAATATCCTTCCTGCTACTATTTTGTTTCCTTTTTGCTTGGGCATGTACTTCTTTTGACTCTCGAAAAATCTTAGGTATACCATCTTCATTTTTTCCGCATTTTTTCGGTATTTTTTAATTTCATTTTTCCTTTTTTTTTTTTTTACTATCTTCATTCCTTCCCCCCCTTTTTTTTTTGTATTTTTCCAATCTTAACTATTTTGCGTCCCGGATTGAATGATTCTAATACCATATTAGACTCTTGAGAAATATATATATATATATATTAGGCTTGTTATGAAAATGGCTTCATACGACTTTTCTTAGAACTACATGTACCTTCAATTTGTTCCCTAACTAGTTGACCTGAAAAGTGTGCATGTATTTTACAGCTAGTGGCGGGGCTTCTGGGGGTGGAATCAGGACAAGACGCGGTGATCAGAAGTTTGTTATACGAACGGCGGGGGGAGACGGTGGCTCCTTACGGAGTGAGCGTGGCTGAGTTCACGAATCGGATATCGGCTTTAAGGGACAAGCTGGGGAAGGAAGGGCTGAAAGACGAAGGGCTCATAGTGCCAAGAAACTTGGGAGCAGAGGGAAGAATTTCAGGGAATGTGCTTGCTGGTGACAAGAACTCGCCTGCATACGGAAGAACCCCTAGGGAAGTGTTGAGGATAGTTTATGGAGGTGGTGATGAACGCTACCCTGGTGGATTCTACCCTCGTGGTGCTGATGGTCGTATTGCCAAATCTTACAGAGCAAATAATTAGTCATCCTCATAATAGGCTTTCGTTGTTTGAGGCAGAAGATCTTAATAAGTTCTGTAATAATTAGAAGATTTCTGCTTGATCATTTATCTTACACTGTACTTAGTCTGTGTTTGATTTGGATTTGTTATCCCTACAGTCTTATTTCAACAAAAGGCCCTCGGAATGGTTGGGATAATGTTTTATTGAAGGGTAATTTCGCCTAGAAATAGAGCTCGATTTCTGCTTTTTATTCAGTTAAAAAAAAAATTGTAACATTAGAATAAAAACAGGTAAAAAGAAGCTGCAAATTTGCATCCCAACTTGGAGACCTTATCAAAATTCAATCCTGCTGCCATTTTCAGTTCACCTACTGGCAGTGCTGTACTATAACTGCTCTATTTGCTTCAAAAGTAGCTTCATGATTGACACAGAGGATTTCCCAAAATTCTGGTATCCAATCATGTGTCACATTCACACAGTTACCTATCAACTATCTCATGAGGATTTGGTGGCCGATATCAGATAACAAGAGGTAGTTAAACCACCTGAACTTTCTAGTTATAACTCCAGACATTAGTCTTGTCGTCTATGATTTACTGTTGTTGAAGTTGTCGTGACAATGATTCCTCTGTTGCATCTTGCATGGTGGCTTGCTACCGTTATTTGAGCCCGTGTGTCAGCTATAATGCATCACAGTTCTTTCTTGCTTGATATTGTCTAATTTTCTTTTTTGGTTGAAGTTTTCACGTCTTAGTAATTGAACAATCGGCAGCTTAAACAGCACCTAGAGCAGAGAAAGATTGCATGAAATGTGTTGTGAAGAATCTGAGAAGCATTTTTAAAGATCATCAAATCAACATTGGAAGAAGAGATATGAAGGCCTGAGGATCCTAGTGACATCGTTCAATACCCACTGGATTAAACTGATGAACTCAAGGATTCTCTGTCTGATGATCCTTCATGTTCTACTGAACCTAGGAAATGCACTTCATCTTCCAGAAATATATAACAGAGAGAGATCAGTGCAATTCATCTTTTGATTTTAGTATGAGAAAAGAAACAAATATGGGCTTCTCTCTATTATATACATTTTAGAAGATGAGCTGCAGCTACTAGGTGAAGAAGAACATGCAAGGATGAACAGACAAAGGATACTCAAGTTCATCAGTTGAATCTTGTGCAGTACCAGGCCACTAGGATTAGGCCTTCATTTTTCTCCTCCAGGCATTGATTGGTTGATCTTAAAAATTTCTCTGGGATTCTACACAATTTTTTCATGTGATATTTTTTTCTCTCCAAGTGTAGTTTGAACAACCAATCATTCATAGACTAAGAGTGAAGATTCAACCAAAAAAATTAGACTACATCAAGCAAGTAGGAAGTGTGATGAATTTTATAGCCAAAATTTCCTCTAGCTTTGTTGAAGTATGCCCTTGTTTGAAAATTGGACAATTGGTTCAACCAAAAAATGGATGAATCAGTAAGTGGTCTAGTTTAGAATGTAAGAGAAACTAGTTGAAAGAAACTAGTCAAGACCTAATAAAATTGGTGAAAGGTGGGAAAATCAATGGTTCAATCTATTCCTATGATTGGCAATATGACAAATAAAATGGATAAACAATTTATTAAGATGATGGAGATTGAGGAGGAAGAGAGTTGCGATACAAGAACCACCCTGTCAAACTATAATTATGAGGAGACATTATCATAAAGACGTAAAGAAGGGACTAAGGCCTTCAAGGAAGGAAATGCACAAAGAAAAATGAAAACTCAATGTCTAAGAGTTGAGAGGCTGAGACATGTCATTGTAAAGGAGAAAGTCGAAAAGAAGAAGATGAATTAGAGGCTTAGGTATTTGGACATTTAAATATCAGAATGAATACATTAGATACAATGAATTAGACTTGGTATGCATGAACCATACGCTAAATTTTAAATTTAATTGAATGAATGAATATATTAAATAGGCATGTCAAATACAATAAATTAGACATGGTATATATATTAAGTATGCGTCTCATTTAAGTTTATCTGAATATATTGAATAGGCGCATGAAATGCAGTAAATCATACCCAAAATTGATACTTTTTGAATATATTTGGAGGTATTGAATGACTACATCATACATGCGTGCTAAATACACATCAAATCAGACTTTAAATTTCAAATTCATTTGGAAACATTGAATTGATGCATCAAATGCTACGAATTTCACTTGATATGCATGTATTAAACAGGCATTAAATTTCACATCCATTTGAATGTAAATGAACCTGCTAAATACAATTAATTACATTTGATATACATCAAAATACACGTCAGATGTCAAATTCAATTTATAATATTAATAAAGAAGTGATGAGTTAATATTACTAATGAACTAGGGACAAAAATTTCCATGAGCCGATGGTGCAACTTCCCTCGTTATTAGAAATAAGGTTTATGCAAGATCTCTTGACAGAACCATCTACATCCAATTGTAGTCGACTTATTTGTAATGGAGATAAGAATCGTCCACTTGTAATCTTCTTCTACAGCATTCTGAATACTTTTATGATCTCATTTAAAGTAATTTCAACATATTTCATGAGAACTAAGAACAATTTTAAACCTCATTACAAATTTAATAACTTTCAGCTTACAAAAAAAATAACAGTTTACAGAAAAAAAAACTAAGGGGAAAATGATACATTCATATTATAATTTTAGTCAAGTGACTCATTAAGATTAATAAAATATTTTTTATTTGCCTTATGAATAACACCAAATAGAAGTATATCTAAATATTACATGTTCTCTCATATTTAGAGTTAGGAAAATAGGTCAAACCGGTTGGACTGACTCATTTAAATCAAAGGCCGGGTTTATGATTTGAAAACTCTAGAGGGTAGTTAGGTTTAAAAGGACCAGCTCTGACCCACTATTTTTTTTTTATACCTTTTCATTTATCTTATGATTTTATTTGTGAAGTTTATATGATTTTTTTCTACTACCTCTCTAGTGTTCCAATTCAGGAAATACATTGATGTTGTTCTTTGTATTAAAAAATTTATCTTATGATTTTTAATATATTTTTTGTTGTCTTGTTTATGGATGTTTTAGATGTTTTTGGATGTTGATGAATGTTTTGTATATATGACTTGGTTTTATTCATATTTATGCCTTTTATTAGTAATTTTATTACTTTATTTTTTTTATAAAACATGTGAAGAATATACAATGGGCTGAAAAGCCTACAAGTTGATCCTGAACCGTCTGCTTAAAGGTTGAGCTTAACAAAATGAAATATCTTTAGAATTTCGGCTTTGTAGGGTTGGCTGTTTAGACTCGGGCCCTTGAGTATTCTTAGAAATATCTCTGGTATTGCTTGTGCTGATATTATCTACCACATAATGTTTCTCATTTTAAAGTTGCTTGCATTTTGATATGATTTTCAAATTGTCCAATTTTGCCGTGTTATAGAGAAAAATTCATCACACACAGACGAAGCTGTTCGTGCCTTGGAAAAACCGACACAGAAGACTTGAGAGTCTCTTAGCCGGCCATGAAAGGTTAAAATTAATAGCTGAAAATTGTTAATATGCTATTTTCTTCCTGGAAGCGCAACCCAGAAAACACTAACGTGGTTTAAATTGGTTATCACAGTTTCCAAACATAACTAGAGACTTTGGCCAGGAGATATTAACTTGGGATGGACATGAAACAAAGACATACTCTGGAGTTTGAATCAAATCATGGCATGGTTTCATTACCTTCTTAGGAAAAGAGGTACACACAAATAATTATTCTCTTTATAAGGTCCAAAGTATCGTTCCCCCTAAAAAAAGAAACAATATAAAACAAACACGAGTCAGTCAGTTAGATTTCTAGTTTAATTGCCTCTGAAGGATTGCAAATATCTGCAAGTCCCACTATCTCTTGTTCAACTAAAAATCTCCCTCTCTCTAAATTCTTGGTAGTGTTGGAATACATAACTAATAAAAATATCATAAAGATCAACAAATCGACATATACTGGACGCTGCTCTAATTGCGGTTGGAGCGATAAATTAAAGGAATAGAAATTCTAGTTTTCCCAGAAGAAACACAGACAATAGTTTTCCCAGAAGAAACGCAGGCAACATGTTCTCACGATAATAGAAAGCTACAAATATAATATACATCTGTCGTGAAGATTTGCAGGTGAACCCTAACAAACAAGTCTCTGGCTCCACTTCAGGACCATCAGCTTCATTTGTTTCTATTGATTTGCGTATGCCACACATCACTTTTCAATCAGAGAGTGAATGTTAACTTGAGAGTAGAAGTGATAGGTCTTGGCTTCAATTATGATTGCCCTCAATCGTCCAACAGGTGCGACGATCATTAAGGTCACTCCAAGCAAAATGCAAATCTGAAATCAATCCATCTGATTCCACATGTTAATCAAAAAGACCAATGAGGATTAATAACATCAAAATGAAAATTCCCAACATACCCAGTAGTTAGCCCACCAAGAGAAACTAAATCTCCTTGGGTTGCGGATTGTGGGCCATATCATGCAAGGCAGCTGAAAGTTGAAAGAACATGAATTGTTAAACCAAATGTCAGTCCTCAGGGGGGAAAGAGAGAGAGAGAGAGATCTTACTAGATTTCAAGCATTCGTGACTTACAAAGCATGTTGTTGGGGCAAAAGCAAATCCTCCGAAATATCCCAGGAGATTATTGAAAAATGGGAAGGTGATAGCAGTAAACATTGTGTGCCCTGCAATATGAAAGTATATCAATGTATACTGACAAACCAAAGCACATCCATTGGAGATATTACATAAACCCATAAGAGTAAGAGTTATCCTCACCCACATAAATATTGCGGACGACAAAACGAAGAATTTGGTAGGTCTGAATTTCAGTTTCCTTACCAACAAGGTTTCAATCATGTCAAACACCGCCATTGCATAAATCTAGATCAAGAATCACAGAACGGCCAGAAATGTAACGCCTTAGGACGAGACATGAAGAAGTTTGCAGTGAGTAGAAGGAATCATATATAGCGAAGTATACGTTTATATATACATATTCATCACCTGATAGCTTCCAATTAAATGGATAACAACAAACAAGTTGGCCATGGCAATAAGCCACGCTGGTTCATTTAATTTGATGAAATATTCTCACCAACATTCAGATTTCCAAAAACCCAATAACCAAAGATAGCAACTGGGAAGTAGCACGCAGCCACAACTATATAGGCGACAACAACTCCTCTCCACATAGGACCCTTGGATGGTTTCTCAGGTGTAGATGGGATTGCTGCTTGGATTTCCAGCACCACGTTGTGCCCAGCATAGGCAAAAGCCAAATTGCCAAGAGCATTAAAGAGGCTGAACACATTCCCTAGAGCGCTATGATCTGACCTGTAAGCATAATCTGCATTGTCAACAATACCCTGTTTTAAACAAAACATGCTGCCCACCATTGCAGCATAACTGTGGGACCAAAAAAAAAAAAA